TCTCAGAGCTGACTCAGAAGTGTTACTCGAAAATTATTGAGTCTTTACTTTGTATGGCACACCTTTTGGTTCTTTAGTAACTTTAATACCACACTAACAACAAGGTAAAATGGTAGAATGGTAAAATACTAATACAATGAAAAAATCATTTGTGTGTTAAAGCTAAGAAACTGACATGACCATGTAGAGAGAAGAGTCCCATACTCAGTTGTACTAGTATATAAAAAACCTCATTACCCCATAATGGCTTTAACTTTTATTAATGGTATTGTAAAAACCGCATGCAGACAAGACCAGTAACAAGTGGTGTTTTTCATCCTAGCTTGTAAAGAAATAAACTGCTGCACAGACGCTTAACCTGTGGAGAACTGGCATATTTCTTCTCAGAATTCAGTATTGAAAGGAAAGTCCTTGTGTTTTGTGCTCCTACAGAGGAAAAAAAAAGGGAAAATGAGAAGAGCTCGTCTGCTACACATTTTCATGATTTTGCAAGCAAAAAGCAAAGATTATGAGAAAAAGAGAATTCTCTCACCATAGCATTGGAAAGGCTCTCCAGTTCCGGTTGAATCCTAATATAGTCTTTATTTCCTCCTCAGTTAGTTCAAAGTCAAATACCTGCAAAGATTATAAGAACAGATGCAACAACATGCACAAGCCAAAAGGGCAAGTAAGCAAAGCAGACTGAGGGATGATCTCAAAAAATATCTGAACAATTTCTCAGCTAATTACCTGGAAATTCTCCCGAATGCGCTGAGGTGTGATCGACTTAGGGATCACAATCACGTTCCTCTGGATGGGGAAGCGGATCAGGACCTGGTAGGAAAGGAGAAAGAGTAGTAACATGTGGATGTGATCACAGGCCATTACTTTTACAGAAAGAGCCACACCATTGCAATTTTAATAATCTGTGCTAATGTCTACTGCTTTAATTAAGAATAAACTCAAGATTGTAGATGTCAGGTTTGCTTTGCACCACCTGCCTCTGTCTCTGCGGGCACTCTGCCTTGGGTGTGGCACGCACCTGTACTGAGTTGCACAGCTGACACCATTGCTTAATCATCCACCTCCTACTTAAGACTCTGGCTGAGGCTCCTCCGGTGCCAGTATGTTGCGGATTTCTGCCACTTTGGCTCTCACCAGTGAAACTTAACAGCTGCTTCAAGCCCTCCAACTCTGCATCTCTTCAGGCCTCCCCAGCCTCCTAGCCATGCCATCCCGGGTTGTCTCCTCCTATACCCCCAGCAGCTTTTGCTCCGTCTCTCCTGGCAGGCGTCATCCTCCACTACTTTCAGGTGGGTCAGACTACCACAAACAGGCTGTACTCATCCTCTCGTCCTCCCTGTTGTCAGAGCCTGCTATCTCAGACGGCCACACCCAAACTGCACTCTGTCTCTCCTGCCCTTCCTGCTGTCAGAACCTGCGGCCTGATTGTCACACTCCCTTCCTCTCCACACTGTGGCCTATAAGCAGTCACCGAGATGCCCTGAGAATGGCAGTAGTTAATCAGCTTCTCCTGGGTCAGGTACGGGTGGCACTCCACCTGGGGGGGACAAACACACTGCTCTTGAAGAGATGCATGAAGAGGGGGCCTCTGCTCCCTGAAAGATGTTTCAGAGTTCTCTGATTTCTCTTCAGAAAGTGGACAAGCCCTTGACTTCGATGGTTTTCCCTTGTTGTGTGCAGCTGACTAGTACCTGAAGCAGAGCTGTTGCATTTTTCGGTACTGATAGTTCTATTTCATATAGGCTTCGCCCTCTAAGAGCTATCGCTATTGGGTTCATCCCTCGCGCATGTGTAGTCCTGAAGAGATTCTTTTGCACCCTGTGCTGTCCCTAAAACAGGTCCGCTGCGATGGCATAAATGCCACTGTGACATGTGATCGGCTCCCTCTTTTTCTTCAACAGCCTAAGAAGAAACATCATGGGTAAGTACATTCCCTTTTATCATGGCTGAGAGCCATTCCTCGCTGCCAGACTCCAGTGCCGTGCCGCCGTCACTGTGTGCCCAGGCCGCAGTCCGGGTTTCATAATATGTTCACATGCCAAGCCAGCGCTCTTCCCTAGGCAGCTTGCTCCCCATGGTGTTCGTTTGCCCACAGCGGAGAAGCACCAGGAGGTGGCGTTCGCAGCTATCAGGGCGGGGCCCTGACAATGTCAGTGACTAGGCTAGACTAGGCTAACCACAGTGATGGCGCGTGACCCCCTGGACTTCTCGGCGTGAGTGGGCCTGAGTCCACTGACTCACTCCCTGCCATCGTTGGCTCCCCCAGCTCTCCCTCAATCCATTGGTCAACATGGATGCCAGCAGAACGAGCCTCCTCCGATTCAGCTGCTTGCTCCCGCTGCCGGTTAGCCTCTGGCTTTCAGGACTCTGCTGCGCTTCTGCCGGAAATCATCAAAGGCGGCAGACTGTGAGGGCATTAATCTCCTCTGCCGACTGCCCCCGCTCACCCCATCGGACATGATGTGTGGCTTCTACAGACGGTGCTGCGGAGCGAGTGCTCCCCATCTGGCCAACTCAGATTCCTGCCGGTTTTCGCCACCGGGACCAAGCACAGGACAGCCCAGGGGGCCATAAGCAGTCACCGAGATGCCCTGAGAATGGCAGTAGTTAATCAGCTTCTCCTGGGACAGGTACGGGTGGCACTCCACCTGGGGGGGACAAACACACTGCTCTTGAAGAGATGCATGAAGAGGGGGCCTCTGCTCTCTGAAAGATGTTTCAGAGTTCTCTGATTTCTCTTCAGAAAGTGGACATGCCCTTGACTTCGATGGTTTTCCCTTGTTGGTGCAACTGACTAGTACCTGAAGCAGAGCTGTTGCATTTTTGGGTTACTGATAGTTTTATACATTGTTAGCTTGACAAAGTGATGAGTCAGAATTAGAACTGAATTATGCCGACACCATATTTGTGGGGTAAGAAGACTTTAAAAGCTCCTAAACCTGGGGGTGCCCAAACAAGGACGGGGGAGGGGGGTTCCTGGTGCACTTTCTGATTGAAATG